ACTTGGTATACATGCAGGGGCGGCGGATCGAACTTTCATGAACCCCGTGTTTAAAATCTATTGTCATCTAAGTTAATCAAGACTCGTTTACTTATACTCACGACTTAAATAACTCAATGATAATTTTTTTGTTGAAAGTAAAAGATCATAAGTTTAAATCGCATGACATACCGTTGGAATAAGATAAATGATGAAAATGGTTGTCTTTTATTGTGCAATCAACATAAAAAAAAAAAGCTTGAAAAAAAAATGCTTGTTTACTTGTCCTAATTAATTTTTATGAATAAAATGTTTTTTTTACTACCTCTCAATATAAAAAAATTATATTATATCTTAATTAATTTAAATCTGATTTGTATTAGATTTCATAAGAAAAATGTTTTCTTATTGTCTATTTTTCTATTAATAATAATTTCAAATTCAAAATTTTATTTTAAAAAAATATAAATTATTTCACTTGAATCAATTGGTCGTTAACATTAATAAAATATTCGATTTGAGAGAAACAATATAAATAAAAAAAATTTAATTAAACCATTTGAAAAAAAAAATTCTCTCTGGTATTTTCTTAAATTGCATATCAAAAAATCGAAATAAATGACATTTTTTTAGTAAAAAAATTAAATTATTGAAATAAAAAGAGTACTAATTAATTAAATAATACTACAAACAGAGATTCATGTGGATCAGAACTATCATCTTGTGAACACGTTCTGCTTTGACTAAATAAGGAGTAAAGGAGACCTTAGGAGTTATTCCGACTTTACTGGCATTGAGTCAAACCCTTTAGAGTGAGAGTATACACGACACTAACTATAGCTGTCGGTAATTTGATTAATGCAGTTTGATTTATCGTGTCTGATAATTAGACTGCCACATTAATCTAATAATTAGATTACATGTCCCTAAACCAAGGTGTAGCTTGATTTATCGTGTCTGATCTGATTCAAGGTGAACAAAAGCAACATTTTTCATTCAGTTGAAATTTGAAAACCAAGTCCTCGATCGCAATAACCGTTGTCATCATTCAATTTGTTTAGGACACTTATAATTCTTAAATTTTAAAATTTTATCTTAATTTTATTGTTAAAAAATAATTAATAATTGATTAAAAATTCTCTTTATTTTAAAATCATTATTGTTATTTAACTTTTTTTTTTTCTAAATTAAAGATTTAAGAATAAGTTATATATTTATCTATATTACTTTTAAGAAAAAATTAAAAGAAAAAATTAGATTTTTATGATAAGATAATTAATCAAAATAAATAAATAATGATAAAGTTAAATTAAGAAAAAATATTTGTTTACCTTATAAATAAGAAAATAATAATTAATTTACAATAAACACAAAATCAATGACAGTTATTTTAAAATAAATGTAATATCATTTAATAGAAAATTAATTTATAAATAAATATTTTCAAATATATATTATTAACTGTTAGAAAAATTATAAACTAATAAAATTATAAATAAATTAATAATATTTATAATTTACATGGTATCAATAACGTGACCCCAAGTCCTCTCTTGTTACATGTACTAAAATTGATAATTATTTTAGCTAATGGTGGGACATTTTTTACTTTTTTAGATATTAATCTTTTGATATCTGATAACTACTTGAATCTATATTAATTCAAAATTGATCTATGTCGAACTCTATTAAGAGAAGCTCTCCAAATATTTATTTCTCTATTTACAAGACTTAAACTTAAGATTTTGTTTAAGAAAAATTAAACTTATTCCACTCAAATCAACAGGTTCGTTACTAAATATTTTTTACTTTTATAAAAGGAAGCAAGCAAATTATACACCCGCGACAAGTGGGAGAAGGTGATTGATTAGAAATTAAGACTTGGATTTGAAGTCAAGATCATAGTTATTATAGAGGCTGGCTTTCCCTCCAAGCCACTCAGGTAATTGGTTAATAGGCGCAAATTAAATCATTTGTAAATGGGAAGAGGGGGAAGCTCTGAGGAAGATGGGTAGTGGAATAGGTCATGTATATAATTTATTGGCTTCAAGGCATGAATACACCCATAGCGATTAGTGGATGTGATCGATCTTTTCAATTTTTGTTATTTTATGGTGTTATGGAAATGGACAAGTTAGAAAAGATCGTTGAAAAGTTAAAATAGCTGTGGAACGATGAAAGGGAATCTTGAACCATGTCCTTAGGGAACCATGCGAGAAGTTTCTTAATTTTTTATGCCCATTTTCTACCCGCCGACAGATCTAGGAGCATTACTAATCTCGCTGCTTCATTTTTGTTTTGTTTTGTTTTTGTTTTTTTTTAGAGAATTATGGTTTAGTTACTAGTTATTTTAGATAATTACATATAAAAACTTAAAGTTTTAAAAATGTGCATATAATATATTTATAGCTTTTGATATATGTAGATTAAGACTTATGATATTTAAATGTTTACATAAATATATGAGATTTGCATTTAGTATAAATAATCACTTAAAAATTTTAAAAGTCTCTAACTTAAAAGAATAGAAAAAAAAATAATTTCATGTAACTATAAGTGATTATATGCACTTAATATAAATTTTATATCCTTTTTTACACATCTTGAAATCTTATGTATTTACATGCATCTATTTTAAATCACAAATATATTATATGTATATTTTAAAAAGAAAAATTGTCTGTCAGTTTTACCTCCTAAAGATTAAGAAGAAAATTATCTTAAAATTACATCGTTTTAATAAACTTTTATTGAAAAAGATTAAATTATCCTATTTTTAAAGTATGCATTAAAGTAATATTTGTCATTTTTCCTCCTAATTTTTTAAAAGTAAGGCGAAAAACCACCAACCCCATTTTAAAATCTTAAATATTTTTACTTACCACCTCTGATCCACAAGTAAAATGTATAATTTCCCTTTTTCTTTTTCTAAATTACTTTATCGGTGGGCTGTTCTTTATCTTTTGGGCTGATGAGTTTAGGCCTGCTTTGGTTTTAGGACCTCAATTTTTATTTTGGAGTGTTTAGATTATTTGTCCAGATGTTAGATAAAATTAATAGTTAATAGTTAATATTTTATTATTTATAAATTAAAATATTTAATTTATTCAATTACAAGTAATAGCTATTTTTGAACGGTAATCCAAAGTTCCAAACACGCCCTTTGAGTTGAGGGTATAATTATTAATTAATTATTGAGGGATTTACCCTCCAACATTGATTTCTAAGCCCATATTTGATTTCCACTTTTCTGCTTATATCCGCTATCTTTGCGATCATTCTGGAGCTTAGATTAAGACAATGGGCCTCTACTTCATCCCACATGCATTGGTTCTGTTGGCAGAGCCCATATTGAATGAAAATAACTGGCCCATTTTTCAAAATGTGAAGATTTTGGACAAAACCTATCTTAAGTACCTAAATTTATCTCAATTTTTTTATTAAATTTTAAATTTTTATTAAAATAAATAAGCTTCTAAATTTAAACGATCTAGATAATTTAATCCTTACTTTTAGATAATTTAATCATCTTCCATACAGTAGACTTAATATATATTTGTGATTACTTGTGTTGATAAAATCAAAATTAATCACGTAAATAATAATATGTCAATATGTTGTTAACATAAAAGAGATATCAACAATAGTTAAATTTAATGTAAAAAATAATTAAATTATTCAAATTATCAAATTTAAAGACTTTTTTTTAAAAACCATTTTAGAGGTGAAGATTTAGAAACCCAATCCTTAACTACAACATGATTTATAGTTATCAAGTCAAAAGAACGAGATGTAATTTAAATTTTTTTTTTTAATAAATTCACAAGAGTTTGGATTCGAATCGTTATCTTAGAAGTTGGAGAATACACTTATACTTAAATTAATGTTACTGGACCCAAAAGCCAAGTGCAATTTAAAAATTTATTTATTTTAATAAAAATTTAAAATTTTAATCAAGATCCAATGGAAAGTTTAGAAACTTTCGCATAGGGTTTTGTCAAGATTTTAATAATTTTTTTGAATATATACAAACCTTATAAAAGTTTTGAAAAAGAAAGGCGCCAACCTATTAAAAGGAACCGCCAAATGGAATTTTTTTCAAAGGAATAAAGGCGCCAGAAGCGCCAAGCTAAATATCCTGTATACATACAAAAATTCCCATCGTTTGCATATATCCTGATTCTCACTCAATTCTTCCTCCAGTAAATTTCTACAAATGGATCAAAAGGCGGTGCGAAGGAACTTGAAGCGGAAGCTGGAACAGGATTTTGGAGAAGAGAAAGAAGGTCGGAAGGCGCCAAACGTTGTTGAGACTGCAGAGACTAACCAAGATCTCCCTCGTCAGATCCGCGCTCATGTAGATCTACTCAACTCCACTTTCTCTTCTGCAGAAGCTGATCGCGCCGCCGCTAAGGCAGCTGCTCAGTTTCTCTCCGATCTCGCTAAAGACGGTACGGTTTTTCCTTCCCGGCGAGATGATGCCGTACATAATATTGTATTCATATCTTTAGTTATGTGATGCGTTTGTGCGTTTCGATTCGATTGGTGCAAAGAGATGATAGCAGATCTAGTTATGTTTCTTTTTTTTCTTTTTTTTTGGTTTCTTTGATTTCTTTTATTTTTGGTTTATGCATTTCTTTGATTTCCGTTTATTGTCTGAGGAAGAATGTTAGGGGTTTGGTTATTTTGGTGATTGCAGAGGAACTTGTAGATTTGATTGTGGAGTGTGGAGCTGTACCTGCTTTAGTAAGGCATCTTGAGGAGCCGCCGCCGTCGAGAGATGGTGACCGTAGTAAAAAACACTACGAGCACGAGGTGGAGAAACGAACTGCATTCGCACTTGGACTTCTTGCCGCAAAGGTAATTTAAATTCCATCGCAAAATTTTCAAATAATTTGGAATTAGTCAGTACCATGTGGCTTTTTCATTTTATGTAGCCGGCCTCAGTTTTCTTTAGCCTGCTGCCTCAATCTTTTGATTTTAAGGTGATATGTAGCTATCCATTTCCTTTGGTGTTTTCTTATGCTCAATGTATTTGATCTGTTTGATAGGGAAACATTCAAATGCCAGTAAAATTTAAGTAGTGTGAGTGTAATTTTACTGGTGAGAAAAAGATATTTGTGTGATTTTATTTGATTAACTTAAGTCTTGGTAGAATATTAAGAGGGTATTGTCTTTACATTGAGTTTCTTTGGGATGATGTCTATATTTAATGAGGTAATAGTGATGACAGGAAAACCCAAAGATGTCTATATTTAATGAGGTAATAGTGATGACAGGAAAACATATTGCCGATTAGCTTGAGTTGACAGATTGATGGAAGTGGATGTTTGATGCTTTTAGTGGTTACCGAATTTAAGATTTTTCTTGTTGATGATTTAATCTATGAACTAGAATGGCCATAGTGTGTCTCGTATTTGGAATAATTAATCTTTTATATAATGAACCTTATTGCAGATTGATAACATGATATGATAGACAGTACTATCTTTTAGCAGATTGTGGTTCTGGATCTAATTTTTGATGTTATGTTTTCTACTCATTCCATCTGTTTAGAAATTGGTTCCACTTTTCTTTTGTTAAATAGCCGGAGCATCAACAACTCATAGTAGATGCTGGAGCTCTGCCTTTTTTGGTGAACTTGTTAAAAAGACATAAGAGTGGCAGTAAATGTTATGCATTGCACGGTGTTATCAAGAAGGCTGCTGATGCAATCACCAACCTTGCTCATGAGAATCCTAGCATTAAAAACTGTGTCAGGTTTGCTTGTTTGCATAATTTGCCTTGTAGATATATATAGTTCTTGTGTTCTCAATGCAACTCAATGTAATGTCTTTGATTCTATATTCAGGATTGAAGGTGGAATCCCTCCTCTTGTTGAGTTGCTTGCCTTTCTTGATACAAAGATGCAGAGGGCAGCTGCAGGGGCCTTGAGAACCCTTGCCTTTAAGAATGATGAGAACAAAAATCTGGTAAGATTTACTACATGTGTATTATTTTGGTATTCCAACAGTTTTTAATACAGACAGCAAACCTGCAGATAGTGGAATGTAATGCCTTACCCACTCTTGTCTTAATGCTTTGCTCTGAGGATGTTGCAATACGTTATGAAGCGGTTGGTGGCACAAATCAATTTTTTTTTTTTTCAATTTCACACACTTCTTCTTTTTAAGCTTTACTGCTGTCATGAGCTGACTGTCAAATGTATTTGAAGGTTGGTGTGATTGGCAACCTGGTGCATTCATCTCCAAATATAAAGAAAGAAGTTCTTGCTGCTGGAGCATTGCAACCTGTTATTGGACTACTTAAGTAAATTTAAACTCTACCTGTTTATTCTATTTTTCCTTGAGAATGATCTTAATATTATACCTAAGAAGCTATTATGATGACAGCGCCACCTGTTTGGAGACACAAAGAGAAGCAGCTTTGTTGCTTGGTCAATTTGCTGCAGCTGATTCTGATTGCAAGGTGTCCTGACATTTCCTGTTTTGATACTTGAATTCTGCTTAAGAATATAGCAAGAATTTAGATTTGTGCTTCTTTCTCTGAATATGTTTTAGCATGGTGTCTTCTTTTTTAATGTTTAACTTCTTGAGTCTTACAAAAGTGGGGTTCATTATGCAGGCGCACATTGTCCAAAGAGGAGCTCTTGGGCCATTGATTGGGATGCTTAGTTCTTCAGATGTGCAACTGAAGGAAATGTCATCATTTGCTCTTGGCCGGTTGGCTCAGGTTATTATTTATTTGGTATTCTTGTGAATGGATCCAACTAGCCTATATTAACCATATACATCTTGTCTTCTTAGGTATTGCAGAAAAATAAACTGTCTCATTAATGATTTGTATTTTTCAGTTTCCTCTGCACTATTGCTTGTTATTTTTTCATGTAAAATGGAGAGAATAACTTGTTTTAATACTCAATTAAGCTAGGAGCATGAATGCTTTGGTTGATTTTACTTTATGATATCAAGTAGCCTGTCCGGCAGAAAAGAAAAAAAAGCCTGTAATGTCAATATTTCTAAAAAAATTAATGTTATGTTTTGTTCTAAAACTAGAAATTTTTAATCGGTAGGTTTTTCTTCTCTGTGGCTAAAACATTTGTTGTTTTAGGACATACACAACCAAGCTGGCATTGCCCAAAGTGATGGAATTGTGCCGTTGCTTAAGCTTCTAGATATGAAAAATGGATCTCTGCAACACAATGCTGCATTTACTCTATATGGTCTTGCTGATAATGAGGTAAAGGCCTTTAGTCGATAGTTAGGAAAATAAAAACAGAACTAGTATGATTGTAATTCATCTATCTTTACTCATCAAATGCCAGGAATTTAGGTAACTAACTCTAGTTTCCTTGCACAGGATACTGTGCCAGATCTTATCAGGACTGGAATTGTTCAGAAGCTCCAAGAGGGAGAGTTCACTTTTCAGGTAGGCTTTTTGTTGATTTGATTTTGAATTGAAAGCTGTTTTTTTGTGTTTATGAATTACTTCTCTTTCCCATTCATATGTAAACTCTTAGCTGGGATCACAAGGTCTAATCTTTCATCTAATCTATCATTTAATTTAATCATTTGCTTTTTACAGCAAACTAAAGATTGTGTCGCAAGGACATTTAAAAGATTGGAGGAGAAGATTCAAGGACGAGTGAGTTATTAATCATCTAGTCCTT